AGCAGCAGAGTGCACTGGAAAAAAGAAAAGTATAAGTATTGCAGCAGCTGGTGGGAATAGACCCTTAAGGCCATAAGCATAGATAAGGAGTTGTTGAGTCCACCTAGCAATAATCAATCAAGGAGTGGACTAACCCCTGTGGGGGCCGACAAAGAGAAGCTGTAGCTAAGGGATAACCCAGTCACCAACACAAGAAAGGGTTCTTTGCACGACATAGCCACCAACTCAAACTGACCTTGCAGAGATGAAGGCAACCTTGCAAATAAGGGTAGACAAGAGGAATATCTTTATTGGACTCAAAGGGCAGTCTCTGAAGGACCTGCAGTCACTGGGAAATGGAGAGGAAGAACAATGTGAGAGACACCCTGTTCAAAGACCTGCTTTAAGGAGTGAGAGGCAAGCAGCTCAGAAAGAGAACTGCTTAGGCCAATATTTGACCCCATGATGTACTCAAGGCAAGAATACTGGTCCAGACCACCAGAGAAATACAGAGTACTTCTTGGGATGGAAAAACCTTACTTTACACCAAGTAAAGTATTCCTTCCAAGTGCAATGATAGCTCATGCAAGAAGTCACTTTCCTAGCCTTTAAGCAAATAAAAATTGGCAAATCCAATTGGCCTCTATCCCTCAGGACCTGGGTATCCACAAGCCAAGCCATTTAAGGCAGTGACCAAGAATCAAGATCATAGACCAGCCCCTTCTCAAGCAGATACAGAGGATCTTAGGGAGCCTGCCTAGGTCTTAACTATGTGCAGATACCAAGTCCTCCAGGGCTAGTTTGGGGCACTGTAGATTTAAAAAACACCCACCATCTCAATCCTGCAAAGAAGGGGAGGAAAGACCTTCAGAGCAAGAAAAGCATTGATCAGGTTGAACTGATATGATGGAGTCACCAGAGCATTAAATGCAAAGGCTTTAGGTTCACGGACCTGTCCAGGTCGTTGCTATCTTGGAAATCAAGAGGTCCACATCGGGCGGCCCCCAACTGCAAAAGAAAGCCCAAAATACCACCATAGGTGAAGGGATCATTTTCCAGAATCCAGATGTTGAAATCAGTCTGCTATTTTCCATGCCTGGGATGTGCACAGCTGTCAGGACAGGAATCTGAAGCTCAGCCCAAGCCAGAATCTGGTCCACTTCTCCTTAAGCTGCATGATTTCTAGTGCTTCTTTATTTGTTTATGTGGACTGCTGCTGTGACATTGTCTAACTGAATTCTGGACAGGGGAACTTGAAGATGAGAGGTCCAGAGTCAAAGTGAAAACTGAAAGTCTGCTTGTCCCATGATGCCATGCCAGAATCTGTCCTTGCAACAGCCTACAGTTAAACAGGGAATATGGGAATGGTTTGCATAATGTGCTCGTGCCGCTCCAAGCTAGGGCATAAAAACATCACCTCAACAGCATGAAAGGGGGAGCGGTGTCCTCAAATAGATCCAGTCTTGAAGCTCCTGCATAAGTGTGGACGCCGCTTCGACCGCTCGTGGAAACCTAAAGTAAGATGGCCTCAGCCGTTACTTTGGCCACCCCCACTGACACATTTTGCCCAGAGGGTGTGGCCGGGGTTACAGCTGAGGCCATCTTATTTTAGGTTTCCACGAGCGGTTGAAGCAGCGTCCACACTTATGCAGGGCATATGGGACTGCTTCGAAAGAGTGATTAGGCAGATACTGGACTACTGGGGCCAAACAAGGGAGTGGAGAGACTGGAATTTTTCTGTAAGAAGGAAGACCTTGGACAGGGCCATATGCAAAATTAAGCTCAGATACTCCAAGTGATGAGCAGGATTTAGAGCCGTTTTCTTGAAATTTAGGATCCAGACAAATCTCTGGAGGGTTTGTACTGTCTGTCAAACGTTAGCTAATAGAGACTGAGGCGACTGTCCTCTCAGCAGATCATCCAGATATTGCATGATTGGAAAATCAAGACAGTGAAGCAGAGCAAGAACAGGGGCTAGCATATTGGTTAAGATCTGTGGTGCAGTAGCCAGGCCAATGGGAAAGGCAACAAACTGGTAGCATTGTGTGTCCAAAGAAAAATGAAGAGTTGATGTGCACGAAGAAGGATAAGCAAGTAAGCATACTCGACGTTCACGGAGGCCAGGAGATCTTCAGGTGAAGGAGAGTAATGACTTAATGAGCAGACTCCATACAAATAATTTTTTTTTTTTTTTTTTTTTTTTTTTAACTCAAAGGAATCAGTTGAGCATCTATAAAGCCAGTATGGGGTAAATGCATAATTTTGCTTTGGGAAACCCTGGAAACCTTTCCTTATCTGGGACAATAACCTTCACCCCTTGAGAAAAGAGCTGGATACAATATTCTGGAAGTTGTCTGAGCTCTACTGGGACCAGATAGCCGAAGGCCGACAGATGTCTCTACCCCACCAAATTCACAAGTGGAAAATCCCTTCATCGTGAAGGCTTGGCAGATTTGGAAGTCTAGGCCTTACGGTGGAAGTTTCAAGCATGGCCTTGGACCTGATGGCTTAAGACAAACAAAAGAAACTCTCCCACTTTATGAGTGAAAGGTTTCCCTACTGCAGTTTTTGCTTCTTTTTCAGGGACAAAAGGGTACTCTTACCCCTCCATGACTTCCTATATATGAATCCAATGATTTGCCAAAAGGTCATTCCCCTTCAAAGGGCATCAGCACAAGACGCTTCTTTCAAGCAAGCTCTGCAGACCAACATTTGAGAGAAAGGATCTTCCACAAATATACAGAAAGGAGACCCATCCTTGATATCTGCACTGTATCCACTAGCCCCCCGACACAATAGTGCAAGGCCACGGGCAAGAGTACCAGTTGTTGGGAGTATGAATCCAGGGTCCTCAGCCATGTGCTTGGACAGGACAACTAGAGTCTAGCAAACATGGTTGCAATGGCATGTTGCATAGCAGGGCCTGCAAGAGGAACAAGACCTTAGAAAGGGCTTGTAATAATATATCTATGGAACACTGGATTGTTCTCAACAGGGACTGATAAAACTTTGTTAAAAAAATGGCTAGGTTTGCAGGCAGGATATCCCACTTCTTCCGGAGCCCCTCTTCAATAAGATATCGTTGAGCAAAATATTTGGGAGGGTTGAATATCTTTTCAGGATGAGACCAGTCACTGCACAATACAGGCTGTAAAAGCAAGTGTACTGGGAAGGTTTTAGCAGGCCAAGACAGTTTTAGGGAACCTAGGATGGTGACCTATGGCAAGGCCAACGCAGTCTGAGGTACCATCCTTATCCTGCACTTCAGGAAGTGCAGAAGCAGCTAGAGGAATATCAGAAATATCAGCCTCTGGGGGACAAGATGAGGTGGCTTACTTGCAGCAGCCCCTGCAGAGTGAGAACTTTAATAAGGCTGAACACTTCCCCAATAAATTCAGAGATTGTGGAAAAAAAATTCCTTTCTTGGTAACTAGGAGGAGGGGGCACCCCTAAAGAGGTTAAGGGGAACTTGAAGGATGGTAGCGACTCAGTTGGGCATGCAGAATCAGGACCCTGCAGCCAACTCAACGTGTTGAACCACATCTTTTTTGGCCAGGGTCCAGGTATAGTTCCCCAGGGCAAAGCCAAGGAGTACCCAATCCACAATCCAAGCCATAATGAGCCTCAGTAGCTCTACAGCTACTGAAAGTGGAACTTCGCTCTCCCAATCAACACTGACTATTCTGAAACCTTATGCTGCTAGCATTAGTAAATAGATAGGAAAGCATATACTGTTTACTTGTTTTAAACTTTTTTCCCCCCCACATTTCTTTAGTTACTTCCTGGTTTCCATGCCTAGGCAAATGATGTCATACTTCCCAGAAATCTTCATGACGAGAGCAGTGTTTTTTCAGCTAAGCACACCCTCCTCTCTGTATGCCTGAGCTAAGGGCAAATGGATTCCAGGAAGTAATTGCTACATGAAACATCTGCCCTTACTCAAGATAGCCATGGCCAGAAAAGCTAGGTGGTGTTTTTCTAAGTGATTTTTCAGCACAATAAAGCATGGAGACATGGATGGCTGGGAAGTTTGCTTTGAATATTAAAAATTAAGTAAATAGTGCGTTTGATTTGTGGTGTTCAGATACAGCGTAGGTCTGCTTGAAGAATCTTGCTAGCAGAACTAATACCAAAAAAGAAATTGGTTACCTTCTCTTAGAGCAGACACTAGCAAAAAAACTGAGGCTTGCTGGGATAGGAGAGATTATATAGGGCTGCCATTTACAGCTTTGTTTCCCAGTGTTCCATCCACTGAAGGCAGATGCATAAACTAATGGATCCAGAATACCATCATGTGTCCTGTAATGTACACTTAAGAAAAGATGACCTTCCATGTGATCAACATTTTTTTTATTATTTCAAAGTTTATCCTTTAATTTTTCGAAGTATCAAACTGCAATGCCATTCTCTTTAAAAGAATAGTTTTTTTTTTGCATTCTTTCCACCCATTACCCACACATTGTCAGCAATATGAACATTTCCTTAGGAAGTCATTAGGAAAAGTCCTTTTTCACATTATTTCATTCATCAAGTTTTAATATATGAAATGACTCAACAGAAAATTAAAACAAATGCTGGTCTGTCCACGCTTCCCAAAAACAGTACTTGTAAAATGTTTAGGTAATTAATTTTTCATACTGTGCATGCACCTAAGACTTTGCATATGAGAATAGGAGCAGGCACCGGGTTTGTAGTTCAATATTCCGTTGGTAATGTGCGGGTGATTTCACAACATTTTAAGACCTTCAAGTTGTATAAAGCGGAGCAATAAACTCTGATGCCCCAAGTGGTGTTAAAGGTCTTATCACTGCAGATGGAACTTAGCTGTTTGGTATTATAAAGTCACTGGTCTCTCCTGGAGAGAAATAGGGAGCAGCATGTAAGGACTGCAGGCAGTCTCCAGTAGTGTTACAGATATCGGGATACTTGTAGCTTCCCACAATCCCTTTTTCTGTTAAATATTTTATTTGGGGTAATTTATTAGCTACATAATAGTCAAAAAGTCCATGGTCTAGTTAACATCAAGGTTTCTTTTCTTTATTCTTCTGAAACTTTGCATGGACCACTTTCAGAGTTGTCAAAAAGTTCCCCAGGAACAGGATGAGAAAGGTGAGAGCCAAAACGAAAACCTGTAGGATTCAGAATCAAAAGTGTAAATTAATCATACAACAGAGACAAAGGTGTTAGCTTAGTAGCTTTTAGAATGCTTTTCTTTGTAGAGTGGACATGCACAACTTGATTATCTATAAGTGATGAGACAAGCTGAAACACCACTTAGAAGTTACTGCCCCAGTAAGAATGAGCATGTGTAGGCCTTTGTAATGCTCATTACTGACCAGAGATTTCACATATGTTTTTAAACCCAGCAGGGCTGTAGAGAAAGCAGGGGGACTCCACACTGAAGTCTGTGGAATCTCCACTAGGACTAGGATTTAGGTACACAACATAGTATTTTGAAAGTCATAGCCTGGAACTTATATACAAAAGACTTAAGTTCCTCTCCTGTGGATGAATCATGCTGTCATTCACACACCTAAGGTAAGCATGATAATAGACAAGGGCAAACAAAGGCGAATGTTTCTGTACATTTTTACCCATGTTATTGAATGACAGCTCTGTTCATGTACATAGATTTTCCCTCTCTGGCGGCTGAGCTCAAGATTGGAGTCAACGGAATGACTGTGGTACAGACTGGATATATTCTTCACTTGTATGTGCAAGACATGACTGATGGTTACTATATATTGGAGTAGTAAAGCACTCTAAATATGTAATCAAATCCTCCATACAACATCCCCAATAGTCCCATGCAAAATGGCTATAATGAGAAACATATGGCTACACAATAAAGTGGATAAATGTGACTGTATTCACCTAAAGATCTCCTCTTGACAAAGCAGATCTGAAAAATGTATAAGAGATATACAATAGTCTTCAATGTAGCTCTTATGGATCTTAAGGATACAACCAAGATGCAATGTCTAGAATTGTAAATATATACTTAAATTGTATTTCCACTTTTGGAGTTAAATTTCAAAATCGCCCACTTTTATGTTTGTTGTGTTCCAATTCACAAAGCATGCCTAAAAGAAATGTACTTTACCTGTTTGTTTGGAGCAGGATTAAGCACAGAACTCTATAGTCGGCTTCTACTGCTTTCAATAGATAGCAATGCATAAATAGAGAACAAAAGTGAGGGACAGTTTTTTTTTTTGTTTGTTTTTAATAGGCACCATAAAGTATAACTAAAGGCAATTTTTTTTTTGTTTTGGATAGAGGGGAGATGGATTAGAACACCCGTCAGTATTTATTGTTGTCTGTTTCCCCGTTACGGAGATTTACCCTCTATTTGTCCTGTTTACCATTATCATCGAAAGCGAAATTAAAAGAAAAGAAAATCCCAAATGTTGGGTTCTCCCCAGAAAAGTAACAAATGGGAAATAATCCTATGGGGACTTTAGTTCTGGTGACCTGGAATTCCCTTAATTTGCAGGGATTTCCTCTCATTTCCTGTTGGGCTATGGGACAAGAAGTGAAGGGAAATCTCTGCAATGGGACACAGATGGGAAAAAAAAAAAAAATATCTGACAGTGGTTATAACCCTCCCTTGCACTATCCAAAAACAAACAAAAAGTGTTTCCTATAGTTTTACTTTAGTATACTATGAACCTGCCAGCCGATAAAGAAGTGATAAAGAATGTACCCATTATGTTTTGTCAAATACTAGGAAAAATGGAATTTATACATGTATTATTACCACTATATGGCAGGGTTTACAAATCAGCTTGCTTTCTATAATTTGCTTTATTTATGTAAAAAAGATTTTCATCTATTGTGCAATACATTTTTATGCAAATGTTGTACCTCACGTAAAGTCCCATCAAATATGTTCTTGTTCTTTGTCTATGCAAAACAGGGGATGGAGGGACAATATTAGGCACCAGCTCACAATTTTATTATTTAAATAAAGAAATCTCTCTGCACAGCACAGACAGGGTTAATTATGGCAAGCACAAGTCCCCTGCCTCTTTATAAACGGGGAGCACTAGAGGAGGATTTTTTCAGTCCTGAAGTTTTCAGGAAACAGCATCTAGAATAGGTAAACTGCAATTTCTACATTATTTTTAAGGTTATGCTGTGTAAATAGGAACAGTAACAAATATAAAGTAGATGCTATCCCAATTTGGCTTCAAAAGTGGAAATACACTTTAAAACGTGTTAAAGAGAATGGTTCGTTATAACAAATATGACACTAGATAGCATGCTATATGAATGTACAAGCTTTGCTTTTATTCATGACACATGGATTAGCACTAACATTATGACTACCCAATGTAACCTGTCAAGGCATGGACTCCTCTGAAGGAATTGTTGTGGTATCGAACTAAACCATCAGTAGCACATCCCATAAGTTGTGAGGTGGAACCTCCAGCAAATCCCACTGATTATCATCTATGGGACCTGGAGAATTTGGAGGCCATGTTAACAACTGAAGCTCGTTGTGTTCCTCAAGCATTCTTAAATTAACCCCTTCCCGCCGACGTCACACAAATATGCGGTCTCATGGAACTGGGCTCTTCTTTCCGTGGGGCCGCATATTTGCGTACCTGTCTTTGTGCTGGGAGCGCGCCGCGGTGTCACTGAGAGCACCGGGTCCCGTTCTAACGATCGGGACTCAGGACTCCTGGTCCCGGGTCACATGATTGCTGTGATAGCCTCTGATTGGCTATCACAGTGATCAGTCATTGTGCAGCCCGGCCCCCTTGTTTTTTTTTCTCTCTCTCTATGAATGGAAAAGAGAGATACATTGTATCTCTCTAACTCCTGGCATAGAGAGAGAAAAAAAATGTTTGTTAAAAAAAAAAAAGTAAGGATCAAAGGTCAGGATTTAGAAAAAAAAAAATTGGTGTCAGTTAGTGTTAATGTCAGTGTCAATGTGTTTTAGGTAAAAAACAAAAAAGACAAAAACAAAATGCGCACTATTGTTTTTCTGGGCTGCACTACGGGTACAAACAACAAACATACACATATATGGCATCACTGTGATCGTCAAGAGCTGGAGAATTTTATTTTGGGGTGTTCTTTGGTGGTAGGTTATGGTTGTAACAAGAAACACACAGGTAAATAAAAAAAAAATTTTTTTTTTTACTATTTTGGGCCACATTTCCTTTGATAATAAAAAAAAAAAATCAGGAGATATCCATTACCATTTACCACCAAATGAAAGCCCAATTTGTCCTGAAAAAATAAAAGGTATAATCCACCTGGATGTACAAAGTAGTTGTGGTGATATGTACGGTTTTACTATCACATGTCAACGTTGCAGAATTGTGCTTAGGCATTTAGATTTGTTTTACCCTTAGGCAAGAAGGGGTTAAACAGACCAGGCCACCTTCTTCCATTGCTCTGTAGTCCAGTTCTGGTGCTCATGTGCCGATTGTAGGTGCTTTTGGCTGTGGACACAGTTCAGTATGAGCACCATGACTGAATTGTAGCTACACAGCCCCGTATGCAACAAACTGTGATGCACAGTGTTTTTCTGACATCAGAACCAGCATTAACTTTTTCAGCAATTTGAGCTACAGTAGCTTATCTATTGGATCAGACTACAAGTGTCAGCCTCCGTGTCCTACGTGTATCATGAGCCTTGGCCGCCCATAACTCTGTTGCCCATTTTCCTTTCTTGGAACACTTTTGGTAGGTCCTGACCACAGCAGACCGAGAACATCCCTCAAGAGCTGCAGTTGGGAGATGCTCTGACCTAATTGTCTAGCCATTACAATTTAGTCATTGTCAAAGTCAAACAAATCCTTAAGCTTGCCTGTTTTTTCTACTTTCAACTTTAGGGACAACATGTCCACTTGCTGCCTAATATATCCCACCTATGAGATGCCATTGTAACAAGAAAATTATTGTTACTCACTTTACCTTTCAGTGGTCACAATGTTATGGCTGATCGGTATATGCATATATATGTGTGTATGTGTGTATATATATATATATATATATATATATATATATATATATACATACACACACACACACACACACAAATGATTGTATCTTTGAGTGTTCTTAAGGGTACTTGAAAAATCCCAAAATATCAAGAATCAGCAAATGTTTTTAGAGGTTTATTGTACACAGATGAAGAGCCTATATTTTTGGTGGAAGCATACATACAAGTGCCAACTGATGAGCTGAATCTGCATGAAGGCTCAGTGACATGGTGTCTACCTGGCTGTAACCTAGCAGGCCCAACAAGTGTCATCTGTGAGTGTTTGTACTAGCTAGGCGTGACTCAATACTCAGCCATCCTGCAGCCTCTCATGGGTACTGAGCCACGCTCCACCCTTGATAAACTCTGCAGACACCTGATCTGCAGCAGCACAAGGTAGGAGTGATTTTTAAACTCAGGTGACAATAACTTGGTTTAATTTTGAATGTAACAGCTGATATGACTTTTTTTATGAAGTGTCACAAATCCTGGTCTTCACACCTCACACACCTTTAATAAATAAAATACTTCTAAATGTTTTTAGTGAATGCTGTATGACACAGAATGAATCATCATACCTGACAAAATACTATCACCGCTTTAAAGTAAACCTATCATGATAGAAACAGGGCTGGATGATTTCATTTTTTTATATAAGTTAGGAGTGCCAAGACGGTCATCCTCATCCAGTTTTTTCACTACTTATTAAGTTGGTGACCTTAAACAACAGGGAGTCAGAAACAGAAGTCCGACTGGTCATACTTGTTCTGGAATGTCTTACAGAATGGCTGCTCTGGTATTTTAGTTATGGCAGGTTTACATTAAAGAGAATCTATCATTGTGCAAAATCGCCTCCTGCTGATACGTACCTGTAACATGTTTCTCTGCTTTTAGTTTTCAGAGCCGTCAAACATCCTGGATACTTCCAAGTATGAAAAACCAAATTACCTCCCCCTATTACTCTCAAGATGCGGTGGTCAGGTCTGAGCGCCCAATTGGCCCAAACAATGTCATGTGCGGGAGTGGAGAAGGTAATTAACCCATGTAAATTCCAAGACTGACCAGCACAGATATTCTAAAGGGAATAAAGTTTCAGCAATAGAACAGAGGGTGATGCAAAAGCATGGAGAAAGAAAAGTTGAAATCCAGGCAACAATTCATCTCAGGATTGTAAAAATAAGTGTACATATACAAGGGTTGGACAAAAATATGGAAACACAACACAATTTGCAGGTGTGAAATTACATGTTTCACTTTGAAAGCAGATGTGATGTAACATTCTTTTGCTTCAACAGTGTGATGAGACACCTAGCTAACAGGTAGGAAGTCTCCGTTTCGTCATTCACTGCGTGCGATGTTAGCGGAGCCATGTCAGCGCTTACTGAGCTTCAAAGAGAGCAAATTGTCGCTGCCCCGCTTAGCTGGTGCCTCTGTGACAGCATATACAGTTTCCGAGAAAATGTTGTCTGATATGCATAGGCACGGTCGACATGGTCGACTAACCGAAAGACAAAAAGACATTGCGCAGGATTGTGACCCGGAATAAAAAAAATAATTACAGCAAAATTGACTGCAGAGCTCAGTTTCAGACGTCCAAAGCCGTGTCCACAAAAACTGGAGGGAGTGAACTCCATAAGCAAAACATTCATGGGCGAGCTGCAATTGCCAAACCACTAGTGACCAGGGTGGACTAACAACTCATGGGGCCCCCGGGCAATAGGGGATCATGGGGCCCGTGTCCTCACCCACATAAACCACACCCAAAAAAGCCTATGAAAGGTACTAGGGGCATCTCATGGGGCCCCCTACTTGACCCTGGGCCCTCGAGTAGTGTGTTCGAGTGCACGAATGGTCAGTCCGCCCCTGCTAGTGACCAATATTAATGCTCAGAAGAGAGGAGAGAGTGGTGCAACACCCTTAAATCGTGGACTATCGACCAACGGAAGACTGTAATATGGTCAGATGAATCGAGCTTCACACTGTTCCCAACCACCGGACATGTTTATGTGTGATGAACACTATCCAAAGCTTACAGCCAGGACTGTCTTGTGCCAAAAATAAAGTATGGTGGTGGCGCAATCATGGTTTAGGTAGCTATATCTTGGTATTCTGCAGGCCCCATCATCACCTTGGAAGGTAGAATCATGGCCAGCAACTATGTACAAATTTTGGCCGACCATGTTGCACCTCATGGTACAGGCATGGTTTCCAAAAGACAGCACCAAAAAGTCTTGCACCTTCCCTGGGCGCCACAGTCTCTGGACCTCAATATTATAGAGCCACTATGACCAATTTTGGAGAACAAGGTTCAAGCTCAATTACCACCTCCGGCATCTCAGCGAGAACTGGAAACAATTTTTGTATGAAGAGTGGTATCAGATTCCATTATCCAACATCTAAGACTTATATTATGTATAAAAATAACTGTACTCTAAGGCCTTATGCACACTTGAACTCAAAAACGCCTGTTTTAGAAGCTTATGACTTTTTTTTTCTGCTTCTAAAACGCCCCACCGTGTTAATCCCTCTATCCATGCACACATAGGCATTTACAGGCATTTCACAGCAGAGGAGTTTAAAGGCAGAAAGAAACCCTAACACTTGCGCATCCTGAAGAGAAGCATTTGTGCTGAAAAAACATACAAATATGCACAAACTCACATTAACGCAAAGTTATAGCATTAACCAATAAGTTAATTCTCTGGCCAATAGAATGCATTCAAACCAAACATCTGAACATGCATTAATGTGCATGCAAAAACATGACATATAACAAGTTTTTTTCTGCTGCTTTTCTCCTGTAAGGAGAAAAGGTGTCAAAAGAATACAATTTGCATGTGGCCTTATAGATAAAGCCGTCCTTCCTGAATTTTTTTTGATAACAGTACTGACCAATCTGGCAGGCTGCTCAAGCTCTGCTTTCTTATCCTCTCTACTCTTGCAGTTAATGAAAAAGGAGCAGAATACAGGTGAGGTGATACCTGTGCTTCTGTAAACTTGGCCATTGTTATGCTAACAAACACTGTTCAAAGCTTCCCTCACTCAGTTTTAGAGCAGTTGTGCAGATTACAGATATTCAATATAAAGAGATATTCAAGACTTCGTTATATGTAAAAATTCATGTAATTAATATATACCTAATCTAAAATTGTATTCATATTAAATATTTTTCCTGCAGTTTTGCTTAACATCCCTACCAATCCCTCCACTGGCTTCAGCTCAAAAAGTGAATTAAATTCAAAATAACTTACAAAGCCATCCACAACCTAGCCCCCAGCTACATCACTAACTTAGTCTCAAAATACCAACCAAATCATTCTGCTCTCTAGCTCCCTTGTCACCTCCAGGACTTTTCCAGAGCCTCCCCCATCCTAGGGAATGCCCTACCCCAATCTGTTCAATTATCTCCCACTGTATCCACTTTTAGGTGATCCCTAAAAACACGCCTCCTTCTAAAAACTATACTTTTATTTTCTCCATCAGCTCATCCCCCAAAATTATCTTTTGTATCACTTGACACTCCCTTTAGACTGTAAGCTCTAAGAAGCAGGGTCCTCTAATTCCGCCTGTATTTAATTGTATTGTAATTTGTACTGTCTGCCCTTATGTTGTAAAGCACTGTGCAAACTGTTGGCGCTATATAAATCCTGTATAATAATAATAACCATGCAGGTATTAGAAGCGGCTAGACAATACGAAGTCTGCCTATGCACTGAAAAACAGTCTAGATCAGGGGTGTCAAACTTGCGGCCCTCCAGCTGTTGCAAAACTACAAGTTCCATCATGCCTCTGTTTTTGAGAGTCATGCTTGTAACGGTCAATCTTGTAATGCCTCATGAGACTTGTAGTTTGGCAACAGCTAGAGGGCTGCCAGTTTGACACCTGTGGTCTAGAGCAACCTTTCGCAATCTGTTCTACTCAGGGGAGCCCTTGAAATAAATTTCCAATTTCAGGGAACCCCCCTTATAGTTACTATATCTACAGCTCATGATACAGCAGCTCTTTCTCCTACTGTACTCTGTGACTATATATGTGTGGACTATATATATATATATATATATATATATATATATATATATAAAATGTGTGTGTGTGTGCATATATGTATATATATATACACACACACATATATATATATACACACACACACACACATACACACACACATATATATCTGCTTCTAGGCATTTACCAGGTCAGCTGCTGCACTCACCCAACATAGTTCCCACACTCCAGATGTGTTTCTAGGCATTTCTAATGTGCCATATAGCTCCCACTCATACTATTATTTATGGGAAAGCATGCTTGCTGGTTTAGTTTGGTAATGCTGTGGTTAATGCGTAGAATGAAAGGTGACAGTGTGATGAACCTATAATACCTCAAAGCACATGTAAAATCCATCCAAAAAGTAAAAAACACGATTTCCGATATAGGAATGTGAATAGCACAGCTCATAAGAGGAAACTGGCTTTGTGTAAAGTCATGAAGATGAATACATTACCTGCCACTCTTTGCATGCTTCGTGTCTAGACAGCTCAAAAAGTGTGATTGAATTGTACAGCTGCCAAAACTGAGGAAAGAGAGGGATGGTTAGTAATGAGCACAGCTTGATCTTCATCAAGTCTACTGATTACAGCCTACACAGTGCAAGACTGATTTTTGTGACTCAGTACTGCTCTCTGCAGTTCAAAAAAAGCAGTCTGGAACAATTAAACCTACAGTACATGGACACGGATAATGACTCCTTCATTCATAATAAACCCGGTCCACTAGATCATTGGACCTAATGGGAAACTCCCTAACTTAGGAAGTCATTAACTACAACTGGGAACAGTACAACTGGGCAGCACAGTGGCTAAATGGTTTAGCACTGCCGCCTGGCAGCACTAGGGTTGTTGGTTTCGAATCCCAGCCACGGCACCACCTGCCTGGCGTTTGCATGTTCTCCCTGTGCCTGTGTGGGGTTCCTCCAGGTACTCTGGTTACCTCCCACCCTTCAAAGACATGCTGGTAGGTTAATTGGATCCTGTCTAAATTGGCCTTAGTATATGTATGTATGAATGCAAGTTAGGGACCTTTCGATTTTACGCCCCTTGTGGATTAGGGACTGATGTGAATGTACAATATATATATGTAAAGCGTTGCGTAAATTGAGGGGGCTATATAAGCACCTGAAATAAAAAAAAAAAAATAACTACCGTATATACTCGAGTATAAGCCGACCCGAATATAAGCCGAGGTACCTAATTTTACCACACAAAAACTGGGAAAAACTATTGACTCGAGTATAAGCCGAGGGTGGGAACACCAGTGGGAAGAATCGTGCCTCATCATTGGTGTCAGTGGGAGGAATAGCGCCCCATCATTGGTGTCAGTGGGAGGAATAGTGCCCCATCATTGGTATCAGTGGCAGGAATAGTGCCCCATCATTAGTATCAGTGGGGGGAATAGCACCCCATTATTGGTGTCAGTGGAATAGTGCCCCATCTTTGGTGTCAGTGGGAGGAATAGTGTCCCATCATTGGTGTCAGTGGGAGGAATAGTGTCCCAACATTGGTGTCAGTGGGAGGAATAGTATCCCATCATTGGTGTCAGTGGGGGGGGTGGTGGAGGAATAGTGCCCCATCGTTGGTGTCAGTGGGGGGGAGGAAAAGTGCCCCATCGTTGGTGTCAGTGGGGGGGAGGAATAGTATCCCATGATTGGTGTCAGTGGGGGGTGGAATAGTGCTCCATGATTGGTGTCAGTGGGGGGTGGAATAGTGCCCCATCATTGGTGTCAGTGGGGGGGGGGGGGGGGGGGGGGGGGGGGGGGGGGGAGGGAGGAATAGTGCCCGAATCTTTGGTGTCAGTGGGGGGGGGGGGGGGAGGAGAGGAATAGTCCCCAATCGTTGGTGGTCAGTGGGGGGGGGGGGGGGAGAGGGAATAGTGCCCAATCGTTGGTGTCAGTGGGGGGGGGGGGGGGGGGGAAGGGAATAGTGCCCAATCGTTGGTGTCAGTGGGGGGGGGGGGGGGGGGGAGAGAGGAATAGTGCCCAATCGTTGGTGTCAGTGGTGTCCATGTGGGGGGAGGAAAAGTGCCCCATCGTTGGTATCAGTGGGAGGAATAATGCCCCATCATTGGTATCAGTGACACCAATGATGGGGCACTATTCCTCCCACTGACACTTGCTGACCCCTGTTCCAGTATATATGTGGTGGTGCTGCTGCAGCCAGCATATGTGGTTGCAGCAGCACCTAAGCACGGCACACTTACCTGCATCTCCTTCACTCGATTTTCGCGCGGGGGCCGGCCGCTCAGCGCTCCGCCTGCTCGCTGGTGATTGGCTGCCTGTGTGCCTTTCCTGATTACAGTTCTGGCGGCCAATCACCGGGTGAGAAGGCGGAGCCGAGCAGACGCACGAACATCCAGTGGACGAACCGAATGAAGGAGCAGCCGCGCTTCCTGGACCGGATCGTCGTGGGACCGTAGCCAGGTAAGAGACAGCAGCCCCCTGCAGACGTTGACTCGAGTATAAGCCGAGGGGGCCGTTTTTCAGCACAAAAAAATCTGCTGAAAAAATCGGCTTATACTTGAGTATATACGGTATGTTCAATAACTGTCATGTATAGAAAATAAAAGAACAAGTGCAAAGTTTTTACCTACTAACCTGAATTTATAACCTGCTCTAGAAAATTTTTTGTACAGGACATCCCCTAACTTAGAACATTAGAATAAAAAAAATAAAAAAAAAATCTTCTATGGTTTGTAATAGCATATCTCTACTGATCAACAAATATAACTTTGTGCTACATTGTCCCCCAGTTCCAAAGCTAAGGAACCACTAAGGCTCCGTTCACACAACTTTGGACACAAAAAATTGCGTGACAAAGTCGCAGCATATTGTTTTCAATGACATCCATTTAGATCTATGCAAACTTAAAGTTGCAGTGATTTTGAAAAGGTTCCTGCACTACTGATGTGACTTTGATGCAACATCAGTGCTAGAGAGTGTAAATGCGCATCAAAATTCGCAATAAAAGTCACACTGGAAATCGTGCAACTTTGGAGCTGCACAAGTGTGAATGGAGCCTAAATTTGTACTATCATTTAGTTGATCTTCACTGTCCGTTACAGCATACTAAAGCAGGACTGAACACAGGACTGCTCCTATTTTTTTTTTACTCTTCCTCATGTGTAATTAAGTTTTAGATTTCCCTGATATTTCACTTCATTCATTTTTCATATGGTAATGTGAGCTGAATCCATATGCAGTTATATATCATGCATTTTCTACCAGACAGGAGTGTACACAAAGTACAATAATACTACTACATGGCCAAAAACAGAAAGGGGAGAAGAAAGGTCAGTCCTCGCCACATCCATGACTGAAAGCCCTCTAGAAGATAAAAACTAAGGTCATTTCTTGTTGCAACCCCCCCCCCCCCCCCCCTCTCTTGTCCCACATAAAACACAGCTTGTGCTGTCCAATTACAGGGATGTCTCCACTTTATTAATAGTCATTTACCAACTCTATTAGGTACCAGACGAAACAAGCTGCAACTGAGCTACTGTTTTAAGAAAGGAGTATTACTTTAAATGTATTTACTCCCATCACTTCCCCCCATCTATCCAAAATCACAGCTAGCCCTACAGGTCACCTATAAAAAGGTAGGAGGACAACGTATATGTAGTTCCTTGCCGTATGGGAACATGAGGTGTAAAGAAATGGAAAAGTTTAAAAATTGGATGTTTTCTACATACTTACCTGTAAAATCCATTTCCTCCTGGAGTACATCATGGGACACAGAGCAGGCTATTCATGACTATGTAGGTTATATGCCACCTATCGGTGAATGGACACTGGCAGATCAATCAAACAGGAAGTCCTCCCCTATTATAAACCCTCTCCTTACCTACACAGAAAGAACTTCAGTTTTTGTAGCAAGTAATGACATTTCCCAGAAAGAGGGGAGGGGTACCTCTGTGTCCCATGATGTACTCCAAGAAATAGATTTTACAGGTATATAGAAAAAAATCCACATTTTCTTTATCATACATCATGGGACACAGAGCAGGCTATTCATGACTATGTGAGATGTCCTAAAGCAATGAAAAAAAAAAAAAAATCTGAGGGGTGGGTGACATCATAATAGCCACCACCATCAATCCAAAAGAACCTACTCAGCAGTTTGTAATACACTGCGGCCAAAGGCAGAATCCTCTGCAGCACTGACATCTATCTGGTAGAACCTTGTGAATGTATGAACTGAAGACCATGTAGAGGCCTTACAAATCTGAGCAACTGATGCCTGATGGTGGATAGCCCCAGATGCCTCCACACTCCTGTTAGATTGTGCTCTCACTCAAAAAGGTGGGAATTAATCATTCAAGCCATTGATTTGAAGGATAAACTGGCGCATCCAATAAGAAATAGTTGACATGAATGCCACCTGCCCTTCTGGCAGCACAAACCAAGATTCCCGACCTGTGCTGCCATACTCAAGTAAATCCTGACCACCTGAACTACATTCAGAGTATGCAACGATCTTCCCCCTGCCAACTGTGGACTAGGAAAAAAAAAGAAAGGCCAAGACACTGTCCTAATTCAAGTGAAAAAAAAAACCACTCTAGGCAAGAAGATGGATGAGGACACAAACACCACCTTATCACGATGCAAGACCAAGAACAGCTCCTTACATGAAAAAAAGCCACCAGCTCCGACACTCTTCCTCCCAAAGTGATAGCAATGAAAGAAGCCACCTACCAAGTCAAAGGATTAAGTTTCTTTAATTGGTTCAAAAGGTGGCCCCTGCAAGGACAGCTAAGATCAAGAGTTCAAGTCTCAAGGACACAATGGGGGTTGACAGACGGGACCATCCGCATTACTCCCTGCACGAAGTATTAAGGATTGAGAAAACAACGGTCTCTGGGAATAAAATAGATAGAGACCAAAAAACTCTGACCCTTAATGGTAACTATACTAAGGTCAATTAAATTTCCCCCTCCCGACTGGAAAAGGACAAAAACCTACCACTTTCAATCACCCTTTTCCGCAGATGCCACTTCCTGGAATCATTTCCAACCAGGCAATAAAGGTTTTGAGATGAAATGTCCTGTTAATGGAAGCTCTCTGCAGCTGGATTCCTGGTTTGATCTGAAAAGTGCAGAGTATCAAGAATACCCAAAGACCCCCTAATCTTTCCAGAAACCTGCTGGCCTAAATAGCCCATCCCTTCAATCTAGCATTCGTAAAGCAGGATACATTATTTTGGTATATATAAAAATGCAGCGCTTGAAAAAAAGTGAATATAAAAACACAGTTCAGATGAAAAGGTGCTCCGTATTTCCTAGTGCAGATGGTAAGGAACTTTACACTACCAGATAGCGTTAAAATAATACGCATGTAATATTTGTGTATCTGTAGAGTCCCTTCTTCTCTCCCCTCAGATCTGGTCAGATGGAATAGCCAGGAAAGGTATTATCCTGATATAGAGTCAGATGAATAGCACAGGAAAGGTAGATATCCTACGCCCTCTTGTGGTGAAACAGCAATCCAGCCACAGATCAAACGAAATTACACCTCCCTATCACAAGAGTTGATAAGGAAATCCTTTTGGGGCTGTGAAAGTTGAGGAAGCTCCTCACAGGGGACACAGATAATACTATAGTGTGTAGGTAAGGTTTTTTTTAAGTTAAAGCATCAATTTACATCAATGAACATAGGGTATCATTGCAGACAGGTGGTGTAGGTGAATACACTGACCCCCTGGAATTAGAAAAACCCCCCATGGGCCGCCGGGCCTCCTCGTGGCACCGGCGGCTTAAGTGTCAACGGCGTTCCTAGGTCCACCTGACGCGTTTCGTGCGCTACGCACTTCATTCAGAGGTGGAACAAGAGACCGCCGTGACCGTCAGTCTCCAATCGTATATACCTAGATACTGGATGAGCATGCGCACTGGAGCGGCGCATCTTGCCCGAAGTCCCGGGCGTCCGCAATCAACCAGTGCCGCATGCATGCGGGTGCCATTTTACCATGGGGTCATAAGAAAATGTCAATATCTAGCGACTGGCTCATTGCTAGTGGAGTCACGAGCTGTCCGTGGTTGCGCAACCGCGCATTGCGCGGTGCACCATTATGCCATACACCAAACAACAGGATACCCAGCGCTGACAGAGACCAAAATGATCGTTATCTAAGTGTCATATACGCAACATAGTAAAACTGCATATGGAAAAGTGTGGGGAAACCCCTCAGGGGATATATCCAATATAGAATAAAAGAATATTTAGACAAACGCTTCCATAAAAAATGTGGATTGGCAGGAACAAGGATTCATAAGAAATAAATGAACAAGTGTCATAAATTGTACTGGGGCCCAATAATAAACATAGGTCCCGTGAATAATGTAGTAATTAAAATATGAATTGTTAGCCAAAAGCTGGTATACTGACCACTGCCACTTAGATCGTTAAACAAATCTCATAAAAAAAGGGGGGCGAAGTGTTAACATGGTAATTGGACATTGTAAAGTACTATAAAATACCTGTCACGTACGGGTAAATAAGAACACATGCCTATGTTCAGGAAGAAACACTATAAAACAGATGTCATAGGCCCGTGTGACTATAAAATACACGCAGCCACAAAAAAACCGAAAGGGCAGGATAAGATAAGTTCTAATAAGCATCTCTAATGGATATGTAATCTATTGGGGTTGCACTAAATGTTTGGTGACCAGTACACAGCTGTAGTGAAAAATGAATTGAAAGTTAAAATAACATGATTACAGTGATCCACATAGTGATCAAAAAGAATCAGACGTGAATTTTTCTGTGTCAAGAACATATGATAAGCTCTCATGGGATCAGCTGTTGATTCTAATTATAGCATGTTGACATCAAGCTCAACTATTCAAGCCTGCGGGCGTGCAAAGTATACTCAGATTCGTAAAATGTATTTGGTTCTCCATCTGTGAGTTCCGCCCTGGTCTTAAAAAAAGTTCCTCTCCAGTGTGTTGGTTACATATGTTCGATGCCCGACAATCTAAGGACTGGAGGTTCTCTATGATGGTGTCTCCTATAGTGGTGGGACAGGGAGTGTTCCTTGTTCCCCTTTTTGATGTTATTGACATTGTTCACGGAGCGGTCTCTAAGCCGCCTAGTTGTCCTTCCAATTAGTGCTTGGAGCAGGGGCATTCTAATAAGTATACAACATTACCTACTGTGCAACAAAATAATTTTATCCATATTGCAGGATTTCTGTAGTTAGGTTGGAGGCAAACGTATCTATCTTTTCTTCCTCACCCCATTACACTTACAAGCATGCATTTATTGCATGGGTAGAGCCAGTTTGTAGCTAAAACAGAGAGGGAGGGTGGTGTGGGCGGGGAGACCACATTGGGAAAGCTATTTTGTCCCCTTAGAGAAATGACCTGCGGAAAATAACTTCGGTTTTTACGGGAGTATTTAGAGAGAGTGGAATAAAGCTTCAAGATCCCCCCAATTTTTTAGGGAGATTGATTTTTTAGATTTTTTATGGGCGGAGAAAGAAGAAATGAAAGGGACAAAACCAGATTTTTTTAAAAGGTTTTTTAGTCTGAGTACCAAAAAATTCATGTCTGTCCATATTAGCTATTGTTTTCCATAGCGCCATCTTGCTCACCTTATCATAGCCTTTTTCAAGGAATCTATTTTTGGGGGATATGGCCTGCGTATAAAAGGTATCTTATTAGTCCCGGTTTCCCCTGACCCTAAAAAATTGCCCTTTTGGTTTTTCCTCCCAAACCCAACGGGGATGGGTGACAGCTTCCTGGGGAAATAAAGCTGTTACGATCGGTGGGCTTAAAAAAGGATTTTGTGGAAATATGCCCTCTGGGTTTTAATAAAGTGAGGTCTGGGGAAAATCAATTTCTGTATTGCTGTATTTAATTAAACAATTTGATTTTGGGACCGTTTTTGTTATTGAGGGTGGGGGAAAAAAAATTGATGGGGGAAGGGCCTCCTTTCCATGCCAAAAAAAACAGTATATCGTCATGAAACCGCTTATAAAAAAAGCAATTCGGGCCAGCCCCATAGGTAAATATTGTCTTCCCCCCCAAAAAGGACAAAAAACGGGGTTTCCCCAGGCTGGGGGAAAAATTTTTGCCCCATGGCAACACTTTGACCTGAAAAATAGTATTTACTGTAAAAACCACATGTTTTCTTTGCCCTTTGCGAAGTCCAGAATTTAATATAAAAATCGAAAATTGGGGGGGAAAAAGTAACAGACTTCTTGTGTGAGAAAATGTTTGGCGGCAATTTTTTTTCCCTTCTTTATGATTGATGTTGTATAAAAACCCCTCAACACCCGTTTGTGACCAAAAAAAAAACGGATGGGGGGATACTGTATCTTTAAT